GCCAGCCCTAGGCACCTGCTGTCAGTGGCAGTGGGACTCCTGGTGCTTCTTGCAAGCAGAAGACTTGCCTGGCATCAGGCAGGGCAGCAGGAGGTGGGACCGAGTCTGACAGGATGGTTGCTGAGCCAGCCAGTCTCTGCCCTGGGTGGGTGCAGACTCAGTTTAAACACGGGGATTTCTACAGAGCACATGCCACTATCCTGACCACTGTGTGGACCGGGTAGTTTGTTTCCGTATGTGCCAGGGAACCTGGGGCTTTGGCACAGTGTGCCCTGTAATTTTCTCCATGCCCAGGAATCCTGCCTGGGGATGGGTGCCCCTTTTACACATGAGAACCCGGGGCTGCGCAAGCTCCTGACAGTGCAGTCACCGCCTGCCTTCCCCAGCCACCTGCCAGCCAGGGTGTTCACTGCCTCCTTGGAGTGAGCCATTTAGTGAGCGGCGAGTGTCTGAGGACCAGAGGTATGAGTGAGACGGGAGACAGGCTCCCCAAGGCACAGGACTCCTGAAGGGCACTCTGGGGAGATGTGCTACCAACTTTGGACCTGAGCACTTCAGTAGGGGCACTGTCTGAACAGCAGATTAGCTCTGTCTGTCCGTCTGTCTGTCTCTGTTGATGTCTGACTCTGTGCCTATCTCAGCAGAACTGGGATATGAAACCAGGGCCGACACACACAGCCACGTCCCCAGCCTTTCACACATTTTTAAAATTTTACAGACAGAGTCTTGCTAAGGTACTGAGTTGCCCAGGCTGGCCTCAACCTTGAAGTCCTCCTACTTTCGCCTCCCAGAGTGATTGTGTTACAGGCACACAACACACAGAACCACAAAATCCTGTCTGTTGTTCTCATGATGAAATCCGAGCCCCTGCCAAGACTGTTAGTGATCAAGAGCTGGTTCCTGGCCGGGAGATGTGTCCCACTCAGTCAGAGGGACAGAGAGTGGACAGATGGTCAGTGCATGCTATGCCGGGCCCTGAGAGGTGGTGACACTAAGGAAAGCGGGACATTGCACCCACATCGTCCGTGAAGCTGGCCAGAGAAACAGAAGGAAAGTGGAATCCCGGGTGGCCTCAGGCAGCCCATGTGGACCATGAAAGGACTAGAGATTTCATTCTTTGTATAGATAGCCAATATACCATGCATTCAGCAAACGTGTCCCAATTGCCTGCTGCTGCCACTGCTGTGGATTCGGGTAATGCATCGAGCAAGACCCAAGGCAGGAGCTCATCTGCTACTGTGGGACTCTGAGAAATACAGTCAGGGAAGGCAGTAGTGGGATTCAGGCATCATAAGTGCTGGGAAACATGAGCTTTGTAGAGGAGCAGCCCTGTCAGTCTATATGGAGGTAGAACTCGGTGCTAATGTCAGGAACGCAGGTGACAGATGCCTGGAATCAGCAAATGACTGATCCATGGGGCGAAACTCACCCCCCACCTCTTTTGTGTAACAAGAACTGGGAATAGCTTTGTATATTTTACCAGGAAAAAAAATGTAAAAGACATTCTGTGGCACATGAAAACCTTCTGAAAGAAAAACTGCGTGTCCGCAGTACAGCTTTCCTGGGCACAGCCACACTTAGAGTTTTTACATTATTTACTCTGCTGCTTAGCTGTGCTTCAAAGGCAGAGACTGTTGCAACACAGAAGCAAGAGCTGTCCACCCAAAGCAGAACATATTTACTATCCGGCCCTTTGCAGAAAAAACTTGGCCAGCCTCGATTCTAGGTCCACCTGGTCCTCTAAGAAGAACTCTTCCAAATGCCCAGAAAGCGGCTCTCTATCTGGGAAGATCACAGGGGAGATAGAAGGAGAGAAATTTCTCTTTGCACCACACTTCTGAGAGGGACCTGTGGTCCACTCTGGCCTCGGGCTCTTCCCATGGGTAGTCGGGGGCATGCACTGGGTGTTCGGACGCCTCTTGGTTGCAGAATTTCCATCCTGATGGTCAATCCCACTAGAGATGCCAGGCCTGCCTTTCTTGAGCTTAACTATTCAGTGTCTTCTAATTTGTTGAGACTGCCATGCTGTAGTTTCACTCAAAGCAGTGGTCCAGATGTATTTATTAATGTATACAGGAAGTGCATGAAAGGCTTTCTGAGTAAAGCATAACAAAGGAATTCGTTTGCAGAGCATTCGCATCAGGGTGCGTGTGCACTATTACGTGGGTACGGAGAGAGTGAGTTCTATCTGGATGTTGATCCTCAGCATGTTCACAAGAATTACACTGAGATTCTGAATCATTTTTTTTCTTCTAACTCTATTTGCTTTTTTGGACTAGTTTTTTTAAATGTTGTAAATGGACACGAATCGTCTTAATCCGCACAGGAAAAAAAAAAACAAACCCAACTGTTTTCATTCCAAAACATAACTAGAGATTGCATCTTCCTGTTGATAGAATTATTTATGTGGCTGTGATTTAAGTGCTGATGAGACATGCATATTCCCATACAGCTCACCTCTACTTCATGGCTTCAGAAAAAGGAAGCATAGTAAAAGATGAGGGAGGATATAGAAGTGAAGGTGTCCCTGGGAGGTATGAAAGATTCCCAGTACATAAATCTCCTTGGCTCACTATCAGTACTGGGAAGGTTGGGGGGGTGGCTATTTTCTGGTTTTTCTCCTGCGCCTTGTTGAGAAACCAGCCTCTTAGCAAGTTGGGGTGATTTAAAGCTGGTAGCCTGGCGCCACCTCGTGTCCGTGCTCTGTCACTTCGCCCAACAGCCTGTAGAAGCCTCCCTCTAGGTACTTTGTTATACCTGCTGTGGTGGCATTTTCATGGCAGGCAGAGCAGTGCCTCCCGGGTGCTGCAGGGCAGTGAGAGTGCCTCGTGATGTAATGCGTCCCTTCTTTCTGTATCTGTCCCGCTGCTCTGTGGTTTGGCAGTTGAAGAACAAAGCAGTGCCTCCCTGTCAGCACCCATCCCTGCTGTATCCTCCAGCAGCCTTCTTTACACAGACATGCTTACCTGGCGCGCACACCATCCTGCACCTCCAGGGTGCCTTTGATTTGGGGACCTGGCTGGGTATAGCAAAGCCTGGTACGTGGTGGGCTGCTTGCTGCCTGGTGGGGATTTGGGAAACACCAGCGGGAAGGAAGCCAGCCGTTTTCTCCAGCACGGAGACCTCCTCGCCAGCTCCAGTGCCCAAACCTGCAGGTCCTCCTGCTTACCTTGCTGGCACAAACCTCTCAACTTTGCATCCTGCCTGCTCTGGAGCCTGCTGCTCTTACCCCCTGTCTGGTCTGCCCCCAGCTGGCTCTGGACAGCACCTCCTGATTCCCCTCCTCTGGGCTGGGGCCTTCTGCACCCAGCAGGGGGCGAGAGATCCTTGTCAGGGATAACTCAGTTCCCTCCTTCCAGGCTCAGGTCTTTTAGTGGCTTCTAAGGACTCATAGGAGGTGTTTTTGGTTTGTTTGTTTGTTTGTTTGCTGTACTGGAGACTGAAGCCAGAGCCTTTGTGTGCAGCTACATCCCCAGCCATCTTTAAAATCCTTTGAGATAAAGTCTTGCTAAATTACCCTGGCTGGACTTGAGGTTGTGATCCTTGAACCTTAGAAAACCAGCATGTGAGCCTAGCCTCAAGGCCTCTCTCCCCAGCTGCCCCGGCAGTTCCCTAGTCCTTGTTCTCGGGGTACCTCCTGCAGACTCCCTGCCCCACCCCCACCCCCAGCTTCTTTCAATTCCAGGTCTCTCTTGCCCAGACACACAGCCTGAGTCAACGCATCCTCTAAAAAGCCTAGGGCTGGGGATTTAGCTTAGTGGTTTCGCCGCCTGCTTTGCAAGCACAAGGACCCAAGTTTAATCCCCGGTACCAAAAAAATAAAACACCTGGAAAATACCACATCCTTCCCTCTCCTCCCTCAAGCTCTACCTCATGGCCACTGTCAGCTCTGCACGTGGGATTCTTTGCTGTATCTCTGTTTCCCCTTTTAGACCAGCACTTTTCCACATTGAGCGGGACATGCATACATTCACACACACCTGCCTCAGCACCAGCACACTTGTCTATAGCTGGAGACATTGGGGTTGTCCCAGTGGGGTGTGGGTGCCCCTGGCACCAGGGCAGAGGCCAGGGCTGCTCCTGCACAGTACCCTCTCCCAGAGCTCCTGGGGTCCAGGTTTCAGAGCCCGAAGAACCCTCCCCAGACATGCAAGGGTAACTTGAGGTTCTTAGCCTTCTGCAGATAGGTATAGATCCACCCCGTCTCCAAAACCTCCCAGACACAAAGAATGAAAAGACAAATTAGTCTGACCTTTCCTCATGTACTGCATCAGAGTAATTACACAGGGCATTGCTGGGCCAGAGAAGGTTACCCTTTCTGTATGTGCCTTTCAAATTATTTACATTCTCGGGTTATATGTGTTTATTTACATCCGTCAGTTTACACTAAAGCTTCACCTACAGTTTTAGTTGGAACACTCACAGAGTCACGTGTCCTGCCTTCTGAGAAACTATTCTGAAAAATTAAAAAAGAAGGCCACTTCGCTATGCTGGATCAAAAGAAACCATAGGGAGCAAGGCATAGTGGTGAATGAATGCATATAATCCCAGCACTCAGGAGGCTCCAGCAAGGTGATGGGGAGTTTGAGGCCAGGCTGAGCAACACAAAATAAAGAGGCTAAAGGGACCAGGGACAGCTACACGTGATCTTGGAGACAGTGAGGGAAAGTTGAGTGTGGCTTATGTATGTGAGATTGCTATTGGCTTAATATTTCATTTCTTGGCTGGGAGGATGGGGTTATGGTTCTCTGGGAGAATGGCCTTATTCTGAGGAGGGGCAACATAGAGGGTGGGATTGTCAGTGTCCGCAATCTGCCTGCAGTAGCTTAGCTGGAAAGGGGCAAAGCTGTGGGGTCGGAACGCTGTAAAATATCAGTAGCAGGGATCTGTGTGAAGGGAGCATGGGCATTTCCTTTGCTGTCATTTCAATGCATGGAGGGACACAAGCAGAGGGCCACCTGCGTTGGGGAAGTGCCTGAAACTCGCTGCTGTGTGTTCAGTTTGCAGCTCTCCGCCCATCCACATGAAGGTGCAGCCCCTGAACCAGACGGCACTGCAAGTGTCCTGGAGCCAGCCAGAGACCATCTACCACCCCCCTATTATGAACTACATGATCTCTTACAGCTGGACGAAGAACGAGGATGAGAAGGAGAAGACATTCACAAAGGACAGCGACAAAGATCTGGTGAGCCCTCGTACCTAGTCACGGTGCACCTGCCCCAGCGTTTCCAAGGGCTCCTGCTGTGCCTCTTGGTCAGGCACTGTCCTGGCCTGTGTGCCAGCCAATCCTCATGCCGCCTGCCGGGCTTGGGGCTGCCGTGGTGGTGGGCGGTTGGATCCTGTCTGGGCTCCATGTGCATTGATCAGCAGGGTAACCTGGCAGAGCTGGCTCCTTCCCGCATGTTGGCCCTTTGCTATCAATTCCCAGAACTCCTTTAGTCCTTCACATCTGCTTGGGTGATTGCATGTAGGAAATGCATTTTGCATGCACACCCAGATCCTGGTCCTCAGTGGGGTCTGCCCGACC